CTGTGTAGGTTTTATTATATAGTCTGTATTTTTACGCACAAATTTCATTCTTGTAAAAGACTCAGCTAGTAGTACTATCCAGACTTTTTAAACTCAGAGAAACTGTGGCCCATCACAATGTAAGTTTAACAAGTTATCTGTTTAGTGTTGTAAAGTTGCAGCTTGAAGGCTAATATAAAGCGACATTAAATACCTTTGTTCATGTTCATGTGTACTTTTAGCGAGTTAAGCTGTGTAATGTAATTTGTCAGCAATGTAATTTGATCTAGTTCATTCAAACATTTTGTCTTTGTAGTAAGTTTGTAGTAAGTTTGTTTATAGCATGTATTTGTACCTTTGTATTTGTTTATTTTAGCTTTTTACCACATCACAACAATCGATCATCTTTGTATTAGATCTCGTCACCTCTTGTAAACAGGGACCCACTTGCGCCTATTATAGGATCCGCGCCCCTATATGTGTACTGTTATTGTGACAATAAAGTTGTTAACTTGCTGTAATCCATGTCTTTATAATTTCATTCAATAAAAGTTACACGGAAGGCAGTACAGTAAAAAGATTACAAGTGGCCTGGATACTTTCTTTGTGATTTCGGACGTCGGACTCGGATCACTACAATTCGTCCATCATGAGTTCGGGTGAAGAGCAGTCTCGAATCAGGACACCTACTGAAGAAGGACTCTCTTTATATAACAGTAACAAGGATCGTTATGAAGGAAAGATCAATAGTATATGGTGGCGTCTTGTATCTTGTACACAAGACATAGAGGTTTGTGAAAGTGACAAAACATCGCTGGAAAATATACAAACTGATGCTATTCACTTATTTAAAGAATACAAAGTAAGTGCCTTAGAATTCCTACAATTCTTTGACAGACCAAAGAGCGAGCAAAGTATTAAGGACAAAGACTGTTTCGAAAAATCTGACTTTAGTAACATTCACAAAGTCGAAGAAAGATTGCGAAAAATTAGAGAACTTTTACACAAACTGACCGAAGCTGATAAATTAGAATCAACCAGTCAGCAATCATCAAGATCGTCCCTGAGTTCAGTTATCGCACAGAAAAAGGCAAAAGCAGAAGAGGCTCATGTACGCGCAGACTTCGCTAAAAAGGAAGCTGATTTAAAGAGACAGAAGGCAGCTATGAAAGAACAAATAGCTGCTATGGAAAAGGAAAACGCAGAGTTAGAAGCTGACCTTGAAATGTTGGTTCACACTCGAGAGGTTGCCGCGACAAAGGAAGCCCTAGAAACACTAGAAATAGAGGAAGTAAAATCTAAGGAATTATTAGATATTCCATCAGTGCCAAAAAAGGAACTAACTGAGAAATATGTGAATGAACTGCCAACAGAAGCTCATTTGAATCCGCGCGCTGTACCATACATTCCGCGTCAAACTGTAAATACTTGCCAACCAACAATCATGACCTCTTACCCAGGTCAGGTCGGACACCAGTATTCATTTGTACAGCAGCCCATGCCGTTCCACAGCGAAAATGTACGGCAGTTGCAAAATACGTTATCTCAAGATCAAGTAAAGGCTACAGTTGACCAAAATCGTGGACTTGCAACAGACTTTACTCGTTTTCTACTAAAGAAAGACCTATTGTTATCCAGATTGTGCTGTTTTACAGATAAGGCAGAGATGTACCCGTCTTGGAAATCAAGTTTTAAGAATGTTGTTCAAGAAATCGGATCAATTGCCACAGAGGAAATTGATATGCTTGTGAAATACACCGGAGGCATATCTCAGAAGTACGTACTCAGTCTGCGTGCTGCCCATACACGAAACCCGGCTCTTGGACTCACTCGAATCTGGGAACGTTTAGACGATAGATATGGCAGCCCAGAAGTGATTGACAGCGCCATGAAAAATAAATTAGCGTCCTTTCCAAAACTAACAAACAAAGACTTTAAGAAACTGTATGACCTCTCTGACATCCTTGCAGAAATTGAAGCGTTGAAGGAAGAGGACATGTACGGGTCTATATTTTCGTATTTTGACACGTCTATCGGGATTGGCCCAATAGTATGTAAACTGCCATACATGCTCCAAGAAAAGTGGACAACAACAGCATCTCAGCACAACAAGAGGCATAATACATTACATCCGCCATTTTCTGCATTCTGCGACTTTGTTCGAGAACAAAGCAAAATTAGAAACAACCCAGCACTCCAGTATGAATCAACAACTGCGAGTCCAGCTGCTACACGACAGAAGCCACCTGAGAAATCTGGATTTCGAGTAACATCGCATTAAACGGATTTTCAAGTTTCAGGCTCACCAGGGACGGCATGCCCTATACACAATACAGGGCACCCACTCAACAAATGTAGATCGTTTCGTTCAAAGCCAATGGCAATAAGAGAAAAGATACTTAAAGATAAAGGGATATGTTTTAAATGTTGTGCCGGCTATCACATGGCAGCGAACTGTTCCACCGTCATTTCGTGTGACATTTGCAAGGCCAAAAATCATCCGACAGCCCTACATGCAGTTTCAGAACAGAGCAGAGGACAGACATCGCATGGCGGGGAGCGGACAGACCACACCCTTGAAAATAGCCAAAAGAGCACTGAAGTGAAACCATGCTGCACACAAATATGTGGGGACTCATTCTCCTGCAAATCATGTGCAAAAACAGTGTTAGTTCGCCTGTACTCACAAAATCAGCCACTTAAAGAGACAATTTGTTATGCTATGATTGACGACCAGTCAAATCAGTCTCTGGCAACACCATCTATCTGTGACCTTTTCAAGGAGAATTGCACTCATGAATCAATGTACCTGTTGTCTACCTGTGCAGGTCAAACGCGTTGCTCCGGAAGAAAATTAAAGAACATCATGATTGAGTCATTTGACGGAAAACAAAAATTTCGTCTACCATCCGCTCTTGAGTGTGACCAGATCCCAGATGTTAGAAATGAGATACCAACCCCTGACGTCGCCTCATATTATCCGCACTTACAGGATATTGCACAACACATTCCGCCTTTGAATCCTGATGCAGAAATAATGCTTTTGATTGGTAGGGATCTGATTGAAGCCCATCATGTCCTTGATCAACGAATCGGACCGCCAAACTCTCCATATGCGCAGAAATTGCCCCTCGGATGGACAATAATCGGAGAAACATGTCTTGGCAAGGTACATCGTCCAAAAGCCGTTAACGTCTTGAAAACTAATTTGACAAATGAAGGCCGCGTTACACTATTCAGTCCTTGTATCAACTCGTTTGCCGTACGTGAGAAAAATCCAGACCAATCTGTCAAACTCGAAAAAGACATATTTCTTAGGACGGAATCTGATGACAAGCCTGGACTGTCCACAGATGACAGAAGATTTCTTAAGATCATGGATGAGGAATTCCACAAGAATGAAGACGTAACTGGTCAGCACCACTTCCATTTCGCGATCGGAACTTCAAGATACCTAATAACAAATCCCAAGCTATAAAAAGAGCCAAAACACTCGAGTCAAGCCTAAGACGCGACCCTATGAAGAAAGAACACTTCTTTGAATTCATGAGTGGTATCTTTGACAATGCACATGCCAAAAAAGTGTCATTAATCCCAGATGAAAGTGAGTGCTGGTATCTACCAATATTTGGAGTCTATCATCCTCGTAAACCAAATCAACTGAGTGCCGTATTCGACTCTTCAGCTAAGTACGGAGGAGTATCTTTGAATGACATACTTCTTACAGGCCCGGATCTCACAAACAGTTTATTGGGAATTCTACTTCGATTCCGTCGTGAAGCAGTAGCAATCATGGGAGACATTCAACAGATGTTCTATTGTTTCAAAGTGGATGAAAAGCATAGATACTTTCTTCGTTTCCTGTGGTATGAAGACAATAACTTTAGCAAACCGCTGGCAGAATATCGCATGTGTGCACATGTGTTTGGAAATAGCCCTTCACCAGCAATCGCTACTTATGGACTCCGTAAGACTGCCGACATTAGCAAAGAAAATTATGGTGAAGATGTAAAAAATTTCGTTTGCAGGGATTTTTACGTAGATGATGGACTGACCTCCTTACCAACATCTGACATGGCTATAGATCTAATGCAGAGGACCCAATCTGCACTACAAACAATTGGGAATGTCCACCTACACAAAATCGCCTCAAACTGTGAAGAAGTAATGAAAGCATTTGGTCCATCTGATCTAGCTAAGGATTTGAAAGACCTTGACCTGTCAAATGATTCGCTTCCCGTCCAGAGAAGTCTAGGACTCAAATGGGACATTACTTCAGATAGTTTTACCTTCAAACTCGTAAATGATAACAAGCCATACACCAGACGATCAGTGTACCATCAGTGTATGACACCTTGGGTTTCCTTGCACCCGTTCTTATTCGAGGCAAGCTCATACTAAGAGAGTTAACAAGGAAACGTCGGCTGAACCGAGATCTTACCAGAGTCTAAATTTAAAGAATGCGAAAATTGGAGAACCTCTTTACACCATTTGGAGAAGGTACATATTCCACGAATGTGTATTTCAACGTCATTTAGTGACACGGAAGATAAGAAACTTCATATCTTCGCATCCGAAAAAGCTATCGCCGCAGTTGCATACTTGACCTCAGACAAACATTCGAGTGTTGGATTTGTCCTAGGAAAAACCAAGGTCGCACCAACCCATGGACACACAATCCCGAGATTGGAGCTATGCGCAGCTGTGCTAGCCACGGAAATTGGTCAGACAATATCTGATAATCTTGATATTTGGCTAAACAACATACAGTACCACACTGACAGCAAGGTAGTACTTGGGTACATTTGCAATGAGAAACGTAGATTCTACACTTATGTCAGTAATAGAGTGGCGAAAATCCATCAACTATCTCATTCGGCACAATAGTCTTATGTGCCCACAGACAAAAATCCAGCGAACCTAGCTACCAGATCTATTTCATCCGCGGATTTGCAGCAAAGTACCTGGCTTTTGGGGCCTAGTCATCTACTCAAAGAAGACCCAAATGAGGAGAAATTCGAATGCTTGGAACACAACGTTTTGGGCGGTTTTCATGCTGGAAAAGACTTGTGAACGCTATTGCTTATGTTAAACGATTTCTAAGCGCTAGAAACAATCTACCAGAGAAAGACTGCCTTCAAACAAGGAAGGAGGCAGAAAGCCTAATCATCAAAGAAGTTCAAAGTGAGATGTTCCCTGACGAAATAGAATGCATCAGGTTATACAAAAAATTGCCAAAAGAGAGCAAAATTGTAATCTTTGACCCATTTATAGACGAAAATGGATTGATGCGGGTAGGAGGGAGACTCCGTCATGCAAAAATACCAGCTGATGAACGGCATCCAATTATAATTCCAGGGAAACACCATGTAGCATTATTGCTAATACGTCATTATCACGAGAAAATAAAACACCAGGGTCGACACTTTACCTCTGGTGCGATAAGGTCAGCTGGCTACTGGATAATAGGAGAGAAGCGACAAGTATCATCAGTCCTAGAAAAATGCGTTATTTGCCGAAAACTACGGGGTCAGAACGAACATCAGAAGATGGCAGACTTGCCAGAAAATAGAATAACTCCTGGGCCGCCATTTACTAACGTTGGCATTGACACCTTAGGGCCTTGGTCTTTCGTAACGAGAAAGACGCGTGGTGGAGCAGCAAATTCTAAACGTTGGGCAATTATGTTTACCTGCTTGATAACGCGAGCCATTCATCTGGATGTAGTGGAAGATTTAAGTTCTTCTTCGTTCGTCAATGCTTTGAAAAGATTCACTGCGATTAGAGGGCCAATAAAAATAATTCGCTCTGATTGTGGTACAAATTTTGTAGGGTCTGCAAAGAAGCTGAAGCTCGATTGCTTCAATGTAGGAGATACCCCAGTGAAAACATATCTAAATGATAACAGCATTCAATGGATCTTCAATGCTCCAAATTCATCTCATATGGGAGGAGCGTGGGAGAGAATGATTGGTGTCACCAGAAGAATACTAGATTCAATGATGTTACAACACTGTGGGAATCTTACCAATGATGTTCTCGTAACTTTCCTAGCAGACGTTTGCGCAATCATTAACTCGAGACCGCTTTCAGCCATATCAACAGATCCAGAAGACCCATATCCGTTATGCCCATCATTGATACTAACACAAAAACCAAACGTTCTTCTTACTCCAGACGTATCATTTGGAAGTAAGGATATTTACCAATCGCAATGGAAACGAGTACAATACTTGGCAGACGTTTTCTGGAAGAAGTGGCGCGAAAGCTACCTACAAAGTTTACAGTCGCGTCAAAAATGGTTCGATGACAGAAGAAACGTAGAAATTGGCGATATAGTACTTCTAAAAGACTCTCAAGTAAAACGCACAGAGTGGCCAATGGGACTTATCACGAAAGTTTTCCAAAGTTCTGACGAAAAAGTACGCAAGGTCGAGGTGCGCGTTTCAGGAAAACATTTGAGTCATGAAAAACCGGTGACGTACATTCGTCCTGTGACTGAATTGGTAGTATTAATTGCTAGTAATGAAAAGTAATATCTTTTTTGAGTTAGATATCAGACGGGGAGTGTAATGTCTTATATTTTGTATAGTATTTTTTAGAATTGCAGATTGTGCATTTTGGGTGCATGAACAAATATGTCGAATTCTGAATGACTAAATACATTGTTCATTGTTCCAATTGTTTTTATAACCATATTCTCACGATTGAATTTTGCTGACTGACTATAAACTCCCGTCTGCTGTTTATGTTGAAGCTAAAATCAGCTGCATTTTGTTTATCTAACTGGGAGAGCCCGCAGTTTGATATTTATTTTAATTATGAAACTATGTTGTTTCCTGTGTAGTTTTTATTATATAGTCTGTATTTTTACGCACAGATTTCATTCTTGTAAAAGACTCAGCTAGTAGTACTATCCAGACGTTTTTAAACTCAGAGAAACTGTGGCCGATCACAATGTAAGTTTAACAAGTTATCTGTTTAGTGTTGTAAAGTTGCAGCTTGAAGGCTAATATAAAGCGACATTGAATACCTTTGTAAAAGTTCATGTGTACTTTTAGCGAGTTAAGCTGTGTAATGTAATTTGTCAGCAATGTAATTTGATCTAGTTCATTCAAACATTTTGTCTTTGTAGTAAGTTTGTAGTAAATTTGTTTATAGCATGTATTTGTATCTTTGTATTTGTTTATTTTAGCTTTTTACCACATCACAACAATCGATCATCTTTGTATTAGATCTCGTCACCTCTTGTAAACAGGGACACACTTGCGCCTATTGTAGGATCCGCGCCCCTATATGTGTACTGTTATTGTGACAATAAAGTGGTTAACTTGCTGTAATCCGTGTCTTTATAATTTCATTTAATAAAAGTTACATGGAAGGCAGTACACATATTGCTTTGCTGCTGTCTGTCGGTCCAATTACTTTTCGCTCATTTTCTTCGCAACCGTTGCACATACTGAAATGAAATTTGGTATACAGATATATCACATTAATATCGAGGTCAAAAGTTCTGCTTTGGTACAATTGCGCCATTTTTGACAGAGTTATGCCCCTTGGACGTAGAAAAAAAATCCAATTATTCGCAGTTTCCTTTCATTTTCTTTGTAGAGGTTGCACATACTGAAATGAAATTTGGTATACAGATTTATCAGATGACTATATAGGCCAAGATTTGTTTTTGGTAAAATCACGCCATTTTTGACAGAGTTATGCCCTTTTGGACTTGGAAAAATTCCAATTTTGGGGGGAATGGGGCATAAGTGTGTTTACCAACCATCTCTTGTTAGCATGTTAATTTAATATTTCCTGCCAAAAAAAAAAATACTAGCTGTAGTTCATGAAAAATGATTTTTTAAAGGACTAAGTCTTCAAAAAAATTACAGAACATAGTATATAGAAGGTTTATTGTGACTTTGATTTTCCAGACCCCTTACATGTACAAGGGGGAAAGACACAGGAACAAAGAAGATTTCAGTCTCAGGATGTATGGCAATTGGGGATGAAGTCAAGGTCAGTTTAATTAAAATTCATTTAACAAAAGTGTTTCTTGAGAAATATCTCAAAAAATTTCCCCCAAAAGTTCCTAAAATTGGACTTTGCTTTAGTCATAAACATGTTGTATTTACATCCATATATATTTTTTTCTTTATTTCTTATGAAGACCATTGCCATTAATCAGTGCATGAACAACACTAAAGTCAGTCAACTGTGTAATTTTCTTGAACAATGGTTGTTCCATCAGTTCTACAAACAATGACATATTCATCTTAAAAACAATAGCTAACAAATGTAATTTTACTTTGAATGATTTTTAATACAGATGTAAATATAAAAAAATAAAATGCTTTCTTTGTTTGTATGGGAATGAACGCTGCAGCAATTTGCAGAAAAAAAATTATAGAACCGTTTACAGGGGTTATGTTTTTTTTCTTCAACGTTAATTCCGATACTAACAACAAAAGAAAGCATTTTATTATTTAAATCAATAATCTTATGTTGTGTTCATTTACACAAAAATATACATGTATGTATCTTTTAAAAGTCAGTAAAATGATTTGATTGTTAAGAGATTAGGATATCTAAACAACAGTCAATATTTAATATTTCATTGGTATTTCCTGTTCAGTTTTAGTTTGTCTATTGATGTTTATTTACCATTTACAGAATTGTCTGCTAATCATTGTTTATTTGTTGTTGTTTATCATAATTATCTTGACAGTTGTTCGTCTATTGTTGTTTCTTTTTTGTTTACAAAGTTGTTTGTTTATTGTTGCTTATTTATCAATGACAGAGTTGTCTGCTTATCGTTGTTTATTTGTTGTTGACAGAATTGTCTGTTAATTAATAATTATTGTTTAATGTTGTTTTCTAAGTTTTTTTAAATATTATTGACAAAGTTGTTTGTTTATTGTTGTTAAATTATGTTGACAGAGAAAGTTATTTATTTGTTGTTTACAGAGTTGTTTATTTATTGCTGACAGAACTGTTTGTTTATTGTTGTTTATTCATAAATGAAAGAGTTGTTTGTTTATCATTGTTTATTTATGTTGGCAGAGTTGATTGTTTATTGTTGCTATTTATTGTTGTTTATTTATTGTCGACAGAATTTGTTATTTATTGTTGTTTATTTATTGTTGACAGAGTTTGTTGTTTATTGTTGTTTATATATTTATTGTTGTTTATTTATTGTTGACAGAGTTTGTTGTTTATTGTTGTTTATTAATTGTGGACAGAGTTGTCTATTTATCATTGCTCATTTATCATTGATAGAGAAGTTTTGTTTATTTATCATTGACAGAGTTGGTTGTTTATTGTTGTTTATCGTTGTTCATTTATCGTAGAGAGAGTTGTTTGTTTATCGTCGTTTATTTATAGTTGTTTGTTTATCGTCGCAGACCATTCACACGATGACAGAACTCCGGAGGCGGAGTCGACCTAACACTGACCTCGAGTACCTGGACGAGGACGCCATTCTTAGCTCCTCCTTCTCCATCCCTGTAGCTAACAAAGTCCAAGAGGCGGGGCGACAAACCTAAAGGTACCATAAACCAAAATGGGTGGAATCACAAACCTAAAGGGGAGGGACCAAACCCTAAAGGGGTGGGGCCAAAACTTAAGATGATTTTTAGGAGAGAAATAAGTTCAATGACATTGATATGGGCCGCATCATATGGTGGTCTCTGATTTAGATATTGTATATTTGATGATTATTTATTTAAACCAAAGTCAAACGTGCTTTACTGTTTCATGATGTGGACATTTTTAATCATCTTTTTTCTGTGATCAAGTTCAAATTGTGCCAAAAAGTCTTTAACATTTCATTTAACGCTGCCTCCTTATGTTTCATATTTAAATCAGGAGGTATTTCAGTGTGAGTGTGTAAATATTGAATGCTTTGTGTTAGTTAATCAAGAGAGAAGTTTTCTCATATTGGAATAAGTTTATGTCTGAAAAAAGAAAAATTCATGCCTCGTGTAAGTACAGTAGTCAATCCTATTTTAAGCCTGTATTATAAGCAACCTATGAACGGAAATTATAAAATGATCACATTTGATACTATTAGGGGACTACCATTTGATTCTGACAGAGGGGGGGGGGTTGAAGATGTTGGAAATAAATTTATAAGTTAACTGTCCTCACAAATGTTGAAAATTAATTAAATAATCTGTCTTCAACTGGAGTGGAAATAAATAATCTGTCCTTAACCCCTTAATTTGATCTATCACCAAGAAACTATCAGGCTTATATAAACCAAACTTACACAAATGATGCATCAAGGGATGAAAACTCAAACTTGCCTCAGATGCTGGATTTAAATTACGTTTTCATGATGAAGAACTAGTTTTAAGTTTTTATATAGGTCTATTCCAAAGTATCAAATCAAAGTTGCATAAATTTTGCATTTTTGGATGTTCACTTTTTGTTGGTTAATTGTGTGACTTTGCCTTACTTAAAGACAACATTCGATGAGGTGAGCTCTGTAATCTCTGATTACCTACGTTTCAATGTTATATGTGCTACTATTTGCAGTGAGTATTTGTTGAAAAGAAATCTAAGATTTTTCTTATTTTCCTAATGCTGAATTAAGTTTCATTAGGTGCTTGTTTTGTTCAGATGACTTTGAATATTGGTGCTTTCCACAGTGTGTAACTCAATTTGTAACAACAAATGAAATGTGTTCTATAGATCATGTTTTACATCTTAAATTTTTCTATTTAATACAGATATGTAATTTTAAAGTTTATAAGCTGGGCCTTAGAAAGTTTACTGATAACCAGGCAGTATTAAGAATAACGCAGGAATCTGGATATAAACAAGTCTGCCTCCAAAAGTGTTTTGTTGAGGATAAGAAAAATATGTTGTGGAAAATTTTCAGTAAATATATGGAGGTTTGTATTCAGTAAAATCAATAGTCTGGGATATTATTACCTCAATGACTTTAGTAATGTACTCATATTTGGAGGTTTGTATTCAGTAAAATCAACAGTCTGGGATACTATTACCTCAATGACTTTAGTAATGTACTCATATATGGAGGTTTGTATTCAGTAAAATCAACAGTCTGGGATATTATTACTTCAATGACTTTAGTAATGTACTCATATCTGAAGGTATGTATTCTGTAAAATCAATAGTCTGGGATATTATTACCTCAATGACTACAGTATCATGCTCATATCTGGAGGTTTGTATTGAGTAAAATCAACTGTCTAGGATATTATTACCTCAATGACTTCAGTATCGTACTCATATCTGGAGGTTTGTATTCAGTAAAATCAATAGTCTAGGATATTATTACCTCAATTACTTCAGTATCATACTCATATCTGGAGATTTGTATTCAGTAAAATCAACAGTCTGGGATATTATTACCTCAATGATTTTCGTAATGTACTCATATCTGGAAGTTTGTATTAAAGACAGATGATACAAACAATTTTTTTCTTTGAAAAAGATTTAATAACATGTCACAAGTTTAGAAAAGTGGATGGTTCTTAGAATTTTTTCTCCGAAGAACTGGAAAATGAAATAGATTTGGAAAATATTAGTTATATTTTAATAAAAAAAACGAATATAGACAAATCACATTCAGTAAAGGTTTACAGGTGAAAACAAATTTCAGAATATGTTATCCAGGCGCTAAAAATGTAATATAAACCTAAGAAAAATATACCAAGCAGGTGAATTTTAAGAGGAAGATCGAAATGACAAAAAATTGGCAATATCACATAGGCTGATTTTTACCATTTAGCTTTTCCTAATAAAATTCACCTGGCTTGGTATATTTTTCTTAAGTTTATATTACACTTTTAGCGCCAAGATAACATATTCTGAATTTATTTTCACCTGTAAACCTTTACTGAATGTGATTTGTCTATATTTATTTTTTCATTGAAATATTACTAATATTTTCCAAGTTTTTTATATCCCAGTTTTTCGGAGAAAAAATTATAAGAACCATCCACTTTTCTAAACTTGTGACATAATATTTAATCTTTTTCAAAGAAAAAAATTTGTTTGTATCATCTGTCCCTAAGTAAAATTAACAGTCTGGTATATTATTACCTCAATGACTTTAGTAATGTACTCATATCTGGAGGTTTGTATTCAGTAAAATCAACAGTCTGGGATATTATAATATATATACTCATATCAGGTGGTAAGTATACTCAATAATGTAAGTTTTTTTTTCTTTAAAACTTACTCCTTGAAACATTGATTTTTGTATTAACATAAATACCATATGTTGTTTCTCATTCATTAATAAAAATCTTTCTAGCTCACTCAACAAATTTATTATGCTCTGATATTGATGTAATAATCTTTGCAACATAATTAAGAACCTTAAATTATATATAATAATTTCCTTCATAATTGGTACCATCTATTATAGTGACGTTGTCTGAGATAATAGTGGCCAACAACTGGTTCATAATAATGGTAAGTCAAACAAGTAATCACAATAATGGTAAGTATATTAACAAGAAATCATCAGAGTATTTCATAATTTATTGCTGGAAACCATGTCTTTTGCGATGTAAAAGGCAAAATTAATTGATCAGGTTTCTAACTAGTAGGCAGTCTTAAAGACATTTTAATAGCGTTCTCCTGAAAAAAAAACTGGTAATTCAAACTAGGTCAGGGTTAGGGTAAAATAACATTTTCGTGAGGTCAACCTTTCGAGGGATGAGGAAAAAAATGGTTTATGAGGACTTGATTTCGCGGCAGGATAATGTTTTAGTAGTATTGTATATTATATTTTACATTTTGTGGTGGTCTTAAATTTGTTGGTCCTTGCTTGCCTCGAAAACAACGAAGATTAACCCCCCACAAAATTTAGTGATTTCACAGTAAGTCTCTTAATTTGGCAGAAAAAATAAAGATAGCACTGTCTTAAGTGTCTTAATTGTAATCTATGTCAAAATACATACCGTATATCTGGAATTTTTTTTTACATCGATTTTATTTTACAAATCTGGGTTAAAATGCTATTGATTATTTTTTACGTTTCAAACTTTTGCGAATGACCACTACATTGTTTACATTTTCTTATTATTGATTTTTTTTAAGAAAAATATTTTTGCGAATGGAATGCAATGAATTCGCAAATTTGCTAAAAAAATATCTACAGCAAAAATTTCCAGATTTACGGTAGTTACTGGAACCAGACTTCTAATTTTAACATGAATTTGAAATACAGGTATCAAGATTAATTTGATTTTGTATAATTAAATTTGATTTTTTTCAATAAACAATTTGCTGTGTCAAGACGCACAGCAGAAAGTGATGTCAGTCAGGAAGTGATGGCCAAAGTCCAGGTAATCAGTTTTTTTTTATGTATTAGGTTGCACTTAAGTTAATTTGTAAAAAATATTCAGTATATTTTCAGTTTAGTATATCAACAAATTGTGAACACCAGTTCCTCTTAGATCTAGAAAACATTAGTGATTTCAATTGGTACCTTCTCTGAAAAATCCAGTGGGAGGTATTTGTCCTCACTGGACAGTTCTATTTAAAAATTACAGCTAAAGGGAATTTTTTGACCTATATATACCCAATCGACGTATACCTAAATAATTACAGTATTATCAATAAACAATTTATATACAATATGCAAGCTTCAATTAAAACATGTAAATAAAGCTAATATGAAAATTACTTTGCAAAGAAAATGACATGTATCCTATAATAATAATAGAGCCTTCATTTATCCAGGATGACATACTTAATAATGTTAGTTTTCAATATGGTCCTGCATTAAAACATACATACAGACAGGTATTAGTAAAACACAGTTTAAAAGAAATAGAGAACATACGAGATTAAAAAAATGAAATACAAGAAAAAAGAATATTACACAAAATTGAGACGCATGGTGGTATTTTCTTATATTATCACTCAATGTGTTCCATAGAGTGCTGCCTGATACAGCAAAAGATCTCTTATAGTACTCAGTTTTTGCCCTTTGTACATACAATAAATTTGAATTGGAATTTCTAGTTTGTCTTTGACTAACATCTGATACATAGTTAAACACGTTCAAATAATCAGGCATCAATCCACGTAAAACTAAAGAGACTTTTCTAAAGATAAAATAATCTAAAAGAGGCATCCAATTCATTTTTGTAAACATGACAGTAGATGGTGTTTGAAAATTTCTGATGTTCAAAATGACCCTAGCAGCACGTTTTTGTAAAATTAAGATTTTTTTTTCACATTTTCAGCATTTTTCGGATTACTCCATATAGTACAACAGTATATAAAATGAAGGAAAATCATGGTTTTAAAAATCTTCAACAATGCATCATTTGACTTAAAATATCTTATTCTTCTTGAATACCAATTATCTAAGAGATCTTGCATACAAGTGCTTCAATGTGACTTTTCCAGGACAAAGTTTTATCAACAATAACACCAAGTAGTTTTGACTCTTGAACACATTCTAGGACATGGTTATTTACGACTAAATTTAGTTTTCGACATTTTGATAATCTTTGTGACGTTCCCGTTAATGAAAAAACAGTGAAAACCATTT